AGAGAGAGAGAGAGAGAGAGAGAGAGAGAGAGAGAGAGAGAGAGAGAGATGTTACGTTAAAAAAATCCACAGTAATGTAGGGTTAATGATGTCACGAGAGTGTCATGTTGTCGCGATGAGCTGATGAGCGCAAAGCATTTGAACGGAGGATGAGTGAAAAGAGTCGCCGCAAAAATGCGAATCGGGCGAGTCGAATTGCAACAGAGGGTGTTTACTCTCGTTGTAAAAGCGGTCGTGCGTATACACGAGCTGCAGAGTGCCAGGTTGTGTGTAGGCACGATCGATAGCGAATGAAACCTAAAGCGGCCTACGACGACACTGCCATTGGTTTGCTACTCGTAAAACAAGGCGTCGTTCCAGACGGGCGGAACGTTTACGTTCGGGGTCACCCCTCGAGCCCTCCGTAACCCGTGAGCTGACTCACGACGAGACGTGGCTTCGTTTCTCCCCAGACTTTCTGAAAGCACATGTGGTCGATAATCGGTATCAAGAATCACTCTGTACAAAATTAGTAGAGTTTGAATAAAATGCAGAATAAATGCTATTTTATTTTGGCGAAAATTTGATTTCTATGAAGTTGGCACTTCATTTTTCAAAAAATGAAATTTTGGTCAAAGTTCCGAATGCACCCCGAAGAGTTCTGGAGTTCCTGCCCAAAATTGAGAATAGTTCCGGCGAATTAATATAAAAAAAAAAATTAAAAAATTTGGGGTGCTAACTTCACAAAACGAAGAACGAAAAATCGCGATATCTTCTAAACTATTATACCTAGCGCCTTAAATGATAATAACTTTTGATAAAACTCTTGGGGTGCTACACAGAATTGTCTACAGAATTGCCAGAACTTTAAAAAAATTTTCAACCCTCGGGTGTTAAAAATTTTCGATTCGACGAACGAAAAATCGCGATATCTTCTAAACTATACCTAGCGCCTTAAATGATAATAACTTTTGATAGAACTCGTGGGGTGCCCAGAACTCGACAGAATTGCCAGAACTTTAAAAAAGAGTAGCACCCCGCGAGTTCTGACGAAAGTTATTAACACTCGAAGTGCTAGGACCAACGGTTTAAAAAATATTGCGATTTTTCGTTCGTCGAATCGAAAATTTCTAACACCTGAGGGGTGAAAATTTTTTTGAAGTGCATTCGGAACTTTGACCAAAATTTCATTTTTTGAAAAATGAAGTGTCAACTTCACAAAGGTGAAAATTTGAGATTGATTTAACTTTTAATGGCAATTTCATATTAAACATATAGAAGTAATTATATATTTTAATAATATTAGAAATAAAACAATGAAGAGTTAAAATTGTTTTTATGGAAGTTAAGAAATGATTATTTGGAAATTTTAAAATCGATGTTATAGCTCGGTTAACTATTGTATAACTTGATTTATATTCTTTATATGTTTTATTCGCCGAATATCTCAATGATTAATTTTATTAAGGTTCAACTTAAAATTAGCTAAAGTATGGAATATAAATGATATCATAAAATAACATTGAATAACACAATAGAATTTTTCGATTTTGGTGATTTTAATCGTTCTTTTACAATAAAGCTCTCGAAAGATGCTCCTTTCTCAAATTACTTACGTCAAACGTTTTCATTTTTCCGGTTCAGTTTTCTCGAAAATCAACTCCCACGTACGTTGGTAGGATACAAGAGCCGAGAGGATATCTCGCCGTCGAGGGAACAGATTTCTGTGGCGAAATTCTGCGGGCATGCCGACGGATTTTCCGTGCACAGAATATCGACGGGAAAACCGAAAGAGCGGATAATGTTACAGAGCAAAACGCGGAGAGAACGAAGATATTACAAACGGGAAGAAACAAAGGGAGCAAGAAAGTATTGCGATTGTCAGGGACAAGACATAAGATGTCGAGGGATCTTGGGAACAACCTCGATATTATCGGGGGCAATTACTGGCCCGCTGCAATGAATACGACGGTTCGCGTTCCATTGGTGTGTAATAGCGTCGTAATTACTTTAAGCTACGATTGTACGGACAATTCAATAGAATCCACGATCGTCTGAGAATAAACGAATCGAGGAAAAAGCGACTTTTTACGGTTAATTGCGGCGTTACTATACAATATTTTTCAGTGATTGTTATACGTTCTTATTAAATCAAGAATTGTACGATTATAAGGATATGTTCCATGCAGTGTTCATCGACAATGTAACAAATCTTTTTTATTGTCAATTCGTATCAACGTGCACTTCTGACGTTTCCATAATGTGAATTCTTCGCTGAAGATGATGTATTTCTCATCGCGACGATGTCGAGGGAAAGCTTTCTCCTTTACAATCTATAAGCAAACCTGCCTATTCTTTATTCCTCTCTCTCTCTCTCTCTCTCTCTCCCTCTCTCCCTCCCTCTCTCTCTCTCTCCCTCTCTCTCCCTCCCCCCCCCCCTCTCTCTCTCTCTGATCTCTTTTTCCCTCGTATGCGCGAAGACGATTTCCTTCCGTTTCTCGAAAAGCTCTTGACTAAACGACCGCGTCCCGATGGTTCTATTTCTCGAAAGCTCGAAAACCCGAGAGGGATCAATCGTTCACTGGATCCTTGCCGTACGCTCTGAGAGAGCATGGCTAGCTCTTTCGAGACATTTCGATTGTCAAATGACCTCCGCCTCCTTTACTTTCGACGAAGAGTGCTGCACAAGTACCGTCGTCGACATTCTGAGGGCAATTTAATTAAAGTAACTTCAGTCGGGCGAGAATACAAGGGCTTTCTCTTTTCCTTCGCGAACTATTTCTGTTTATTCAGGATATTCTCCGCGCCGATTCGATCTTACACAAAGGTTACAACTCTTACCAGCTTATCCGGTGGAATACAACCGCGTGTCTCTGCGGTCTCTTTGACACGAATGTGTTTTTGTTCTCTGCCTCCAATTTTCCTTCGTCGATCACTTGCAAAGTCTTTGTGTAATGCCCACACAATTCCAGTTATTTCTGTTTCCGCAAGGACTTGACTTCTAACTGGAATAAATTAATTCTTCCATCCAAGGTATACGGTTGAAAGTTGCGACAGCACCGAAGTGATTCCTCAAGGAATACATATTGTAGAGACTGAATAAAAATATCTCCTGTTTTTTTTAACAAAACATTTATGCTAAACGCAGTATGAAGGACGGAATAATTCCATGCTCTTTTTATTTCAAATGTCAGACGTTCGTTAATTCTCTATAGGCAGGCTGCCTTTTAAATAATAGTTTTCTAGTGGATATTTATGAGAAAAATATCTTTAACGGGATCGAACGCATGGCGGGACAATAATCAAATCTTCTTTTGATATTTATTTTTCTTTTCGCCGGAAAATAACAGCAAAATTGCTCGATATGAATCCTAAAGCGAAAGACTTGTCCAAGTGAGACTCGACACGTTCTGAAACGTGGCGAACTATCCTTAGGACCGATAAACAGTGAAGGAAGCTATTTCGAGGTTGTAAAATTCTCAGAAGTGTCTCTCTTAAGCCAGTAACGACGAACACAACGTTTATGTCTGTTCCGCCACTCGGTTTAACTGTTTCAGTATCGACGGGAGTAATAAAATTATACTCGAGATGGAGGACGCGTTGGAATGTGTCTGTATCAGGAAATAATTTTTAAAGACATCAAATTATTTAATCAAGCGAGAGTGATATACTGAATTTATAAAGTGCTGTATATCTTTCATTAACCTCGCACCGGTGGATCTTTCTCTCGCGAGGGAGCTGAGAAAATTATTCCCCTTATCCGGGCTTATTAATCAACTTCCCAACTAGCTTCGCTTTTCTCTCTGAGCGAAAATCTCATTCGAACGTGACACGTAACGATGATTCGAACGAATTAATTTTCATTTA